CAACCCTGAGCATTTCAAGCACAATTTCTTCTGTATTATGCATCGCTTGTAAAGTTTGCGAGAGAATTACTGTGTCAAAAGATTGGTTTTCAAAGCCCGATAAACCATCTTCCAAGTCCATCTGAATTACATTCGTGCCGTTTTGCAAGCATGCCAACCAGTTGGCATCATCTTTTTCAACGCCATAACCTTTTACGGCATGCAACTCACGCAAGTATTTAAGCAAAGTACCATCGCCACAGCCTAAATCCAACACTTTGCTAGCAGGCTTAATCCAATTTGCAATAATTGCAAAATCTTGCCTCATTTTAGCGGTTAAGTTTGTAATATCAACATTATTTTGCATGGTTAAACCTCCACCTTGCTTAAGTAGTTACGCAAAATATTGTGATAATGCGCGTCTGGCATTAAAAAAGCATCATGCCCATGTGCTGCGGTGACTTCAGCGTAGCTCACGGTAAGCTCGTTATCAAGCAATGCTTTTACAATTTCACGTGAACGGGCAGGCGAAAAACGCCAATCACTGGTAAAAGAAACCACCAAAAATTGCGCGCTGGCTTGTTTGAGTGCTGCGCTTAAATCGCCGTTAAGTAGTAATGCAGGGTCGTAGTAATCCAGCGCACGCGTCATGCGTAAATAAGTGTTGGCATCAAATTCGCCCGCAAATTTATCACCTTGATAACGCAGGTACGATTCCATTTCAAATTCCACATCAAAGCTGTATTTAATCTCGCCAGAGCGCAGTTTTCGGCCAAATTTTTCACCCATCACATCATCGCTTAAATAAGTGATGTGCCCCAGCATACGTGCAATGCGCAAACCGCGGCGTGGCACAACGCCATGCGTATAATAATCACCACCGTAAAATTCAGGGTCGGTAATAATCGCTTGGCGAGCCACTTCGTTAAATGCCATATTTTGCGCGGTGAGGTTAGGCGCACTCGCAATCACCAACGCGTGACGCACGCGGTCTTTGTAAGCCAGCGTCCATTGCAAGGCTTGCATTCCGCCCAAGCTACCGCCAATGACAGCGGCCAATTGCTTGATGCCTAAATAATCAAGCAATAAGGCTTGAGAGTTGACCCAATCTTCCACCGTCACGATAGGGAAAGCCGAACCCCAAGGTTTATTGGTGGCAGGGTTGATGCTTGAAGGCCCTGAAGACCCGTGGCAACCGCCTAAATTATTAAGCCCGATGACAAAAAATTTGTTGGTATCTAAGGGCTTATTGGGGCCAATTAAATTATCCCACCAGCCTACGTTTTTATCAGCATCAGTATATTTGCCAGCCACATGGTGATTGCCAGAAAGCGCATGGCAAATCAGCACCGCGTTAGATTTATCTGCATTGAGCGTGCCATAAGTTTCATACACAATTTCAAATTGTGGTAAAACAGCACCACTTTTCAGAGTGAGCGGCGCGTTAAAGTGGGCGGTTTGTGCTTTTACAATGCCAATAGTGTTAATTTCTTGCATACTTTTATTATACTATGCCTTATGGCACAAACTAATCCCCCCAACATTCAATCTTTTCAAGGGCATATTCCGCAGTTAGCAAGTGGTGTGTATGTTCACCCTGCCGCTACAATTATTGGTGATGTGCAAATTGGCGAAAATAGCTCTATCTGGCCAGGTGTGGTGATACGCGGCGATGTAAACTTTATTCGCATCGGTAAAAATACCAATATTCAAGATTTAAGCTTATTGCATGTGAACCATAAATCTAACGACGACCCTGAAGGCTCACCCTTGATTATTGGTGATAACGTCACCATTGGACATACGGTGATTTTGCATGGATGCACCATTGAAGATGAATGTTTGATTGGCATGGGTAGCATTGTGATGGATAAGGTGATAGTGCAAAAACAGGTGTTGTTAGCTGCTGGTAGTTTAGTGCCAGAGGGAAAGTTGCTTGAAAGTGGATATTTATATGTGGGCAGACCAGCTAAAAAAGTACGCGCACTAACTGCTGATGAAGTCTCTAATATCAGGTATTCAGCGAATAACTACGTACAACTAAAAAACCAATATTAAGAATGATGCATAAAGAAAAAATCACCTTGGTGTTGTTGCCGGGGATGGACGGCACTGGCAAATTGTTTGCACCATTGTTAAAGCAATTACCACCGCATATTTCACCTGAGATTATTTGTTATCCAACCAGTCAAAAATTAAGCTACCAAGCGCTCACAAATTTAGCACGCGAGCATATGCCTCAAGGGCAGCCCTATTTATTATTGGGTGAATCATTTTCTGGGCCAATTGCTATATCAATGGCCGCCAATGCAGATGCGTATCTCAAAGGGGTGATTTTGTCATGTACATTTGCCCGCAACCCTAGACAGTTTTTGTCGAAGTTTGGGGGCTTGGTGCCTAGTTTACCGATACATACATGGTCAATACCGTTGTTAAATCAATTATTGATGGGTAGCTTTAAAGACCCGGAAATTAGCAATCAACTATTTGAAGCGGTCTCAGCAGTGTTGCCAGAGGTGATGCGTTATCGGCTAGATGAAGTCATGCGTGTGGACGAAACACAAGCACTCAAAAACATCGCTCAGCCAATCTTATATTTGCAAGGTAAGAGTGATTATTTAGTGCCGGCAACAGCAGCGCAGGATATTTTAAAAGTGGCTAAAAATGCACAATTAATTGCCTTAGATGCGCCACATTTGCTATTGCAGGTGGCGGCTAAAGAAGCGGCAGGCCACATTCAACGCTTTGCTGAAAAAGTTGCTTACTCAGCCCAGTGAGCACTTACCAACAGCGGATTTTTTCCGATAGTCACGCGATGATTGCCACCTAAATCTTTAATGGTATCAACCTCAGTTAAGCCGATATTCGCCATTAAATCTGCAACCTTTTCAGCTTGGTTATAGCCATGTTCCAGCATCAGCCAACCTTGCGGCTTAAGGTAAGTTAAACAATAGCTGATAATTTGACGAATATCATCCAACCCATCTGCGCCTGAGGCGAGCGCTGAGGTAGGCTCAAAACGTAAATCACCTTGCTTTAAGTGAGCGTCATTTTGCTCAATATAAGGCGGGTTGCTGACAATCACATCAAATGTTTGATGCTGTAAATTTTTAAACCAATCGCTTAATACAAATGTTACGTTATGAACGTTTAGATTTTCTGCGTTTTGTTGGGCAATTTCTAAAGTGGCTTTTGATGCATCCACTGCAGTAACGCGAGCTTGCGGGCAATTTTTAGCAATAGCCAGTGCAATCGCACCCGTGCCTGTGCCTAGATCAAGAATGTTGAATTGATGGATAGTTTTGTGGCCACGCTTTAGATGAGCCAAGGCTGTCTCTACCAATGTTTCCGTATCGGCCCTTGGAATCAATGTATCTTTGGTGACTTTCAAAGTTAAGCCAAAAAACTCACGCTCGCCCAAGATATAAGCCATAGGCTCACCACTTAAGCGACGCGTTAACAATGCTTCAAAAGCCGCATGGTTGTTGGCTTGCAGAGCATCATTTTCATGCGCTATCAGCCATGCGCGGTTGACATTAAGCACCTGCTGCAACAGCAATTGCGCTTCTAATTTTGCTTCTGCTGAGTTGAGCAATATCGCCGATGATTGCAAAACACTTTGAATCGTTTGAACTTCACGCATCACGGCAAGCGTTGGCACTTAAATATGAATCGTTGCACTCGAATTTTTCTCATTTTCAGGTGCTGCATCTTTTTTATCAATTTTTTTATCAGTGCTTTTTTCGGTATCTTTTTTTGCGCTTGCTTTAGGCTGCACTTCAGCCCACACTTTTTCTAGCAATGCCACAAACCCTGCATCAGCCTCTACCGTGTGTTGCTTGGTGTCGCTTAATTCTCCTTCATAAAGCCATTGCCCGCTCATTTTTAGCGCCTCTTTAAGTGGTGCTTTGGCTTCATCGGTGCGCCCAAGCAGCCATTTTGCATAAGCGGTGTTACCTAAGGCCATCGCTTTTGTTTCGGCAGAAGCCGCTTTTGCGGCTTGTTCAAGCGCGCCCAAAGCAAGGGTTAGCATATTTTCTCGCGCACTCACATCAGCCCAATTTTGTTTTGCTTGTAAAATTAAGCCAAAACCCTTGTTGTTATAAGCCACATCTAGCTGTTCGCGCACACGGGCATCGGTGGATGACGCAAAATGGCTAATCATTTCATCATAGGCTTTCGCTTCTTCCTGCACATTTTTTAAGCTATTCAATGTGCTGCTTTTGTTGAGCATGGCGTTAGCCACCAACAATTGCAATTCCATATTTTTGCTGTCTTGATAACGTTTAATCAAAGCGTCATAAGCTTGAACAGCTTTTTCATTTCGCTTTAAACCTTGAAAGGCAAGTCCCTTTTGCAACATGGCTTTGGCGACTTCTTCTTGCAAATTGGGGTCCGTAGATTTGCCATGTTGCACAATCACTTTTTCGATAATCGCAATACCTTTTTTCCATTCACCATCATTAATGAGCGTTTCTGCTTTTAATACATTTTGTATCGCATCATACAAAATTGTACTTTCGTCCGTCACCGCTGCGGTGTTAGCAGGTTTTTTTTCATCGCATGCGCTTAAACTAAACAGCAAAACCAACAGCAAAAAACCGTGAGAAATCAGCTTATTTTTCATGATAATTTCTTTCATTTTTAATGCAAAATTCGCCCCGAGAGATTTTTANTTTCTGCATCCTCGTCACTTGTATTAAGCCAGAACTGGTAGAATTTATAGGGAGACGTTTTACCAGCATCCAGCCATATATTTCCTCCTTCTGTCTTTCCAAACTTAGTACCATCTGCTTTTGTAACAGCTTTAAAGCTCTTTCTAACTCAGCTTGTCTTATGTTGTCAGCTTGGTCGCGCAAAGCTTTAATAGTTGGCACAGCATCACGTTTTTTAAGCCACTGCATAAAGTGCTCAACGCGATTTGCCACAATTAATTCAGCATCTGCTGCGGCTTGCTGGCGGTTGCCCATGCCCTCGCTCACCACAGCGCTTAGGTCATCCACTGTATACAAAAATACATCGTCTAGTTCGGCAACTTCAGGTTCAACATCGCGCGGCACGCCTAAATCCACCATAAAAATCGGTCGATGTTTGCGCATTTTAACTGCGCGCTCCACCATGCCCAAGCCCACAATCGGCAGTTGGCTAGCCGTACAAGTGATTATAATGTCGTATTCGGCTATGTGCGCAGGTAAATCTTGCAATAAAATCGCATGTGCTTCATTGTTTTGCATCGATAATTTTTTTGCGAGGGCTGTGCCACGTTCAAGCGTGCGGTTAGCAATTGCAATGGTTTTTGGATGCTGCGAAGCAAAGTGCTCGGCACAGAGTTCTATCATTTCACCTGCGCCAATAAATAACACTTTTTGGTCCTTTATGTCGCCAAAAATGCGTTGGGCAAGTTTAACCGAGGCGGCTGACATCGAAACTGAATTTGCACCAATATCGGTATTGGTGCGTACTTCTTTGGCCACTTCAAAAGTGCGCTGAAAAAGTTTATGCAACAAAGTACCCAGTGTGCCAGCCTCTTGCGCAATTTTCACAGATTGCTTAAATTGCCCCAAAATTTGTGACTCGCCTAGTACCATGCTATCTAATCCAGAGGCGACCCGAAAAGCATGTTTTACGGCTTCGTCTTCTGGCAAAGTGTAAATATAGGGCGAGAGGGCATCTTGGTCTAAGCGGTGATATTGCGATAACCAAGCTAAGGGTTTTTGCGGGTTATCGGTGCTGCAATAGAGCTCTGTGCGGTTGCAGGTGGACAAAATAGACGCTTCAGCAGCATTATGTAAGGTCAACTCACGCAGGGCACTAGCCAGATGTTCACTATTAAAAGCAACATGCTCGCGAATTTGAATAGGGGCGGTGGTGTGGTTGACACCAATAACGTATAACTGCATAAGGTTGCTTGTATCAATACAATTTCCGTCATTATACTGCGTTGGTCACAAAAAATAATTCCTTACATATCAAATATATGCCGCGTCATTATTTTTTGCTCGCGCCTTGTCTAATTTAGCAACTTGCATTGATACAAGCAACCTTACAGCGTAATTTCCGCGTATTGGACAATGTTAAGCAAGAAGCATATCTAAAAACCTTAAAATAGCGTTAAAATAACGGTTTATCGCAACTTTTTATAATGGACGCTATCATGGATAAAACTTTTAGACTTGCCCCTAGTATTCTCTCTGCTAACTTTGCCAAACTTGGTCAAGAAATTGACGATGTGATTACCTCTGGCACAGACTTAGTGCATTTTGACGTGATGGATAACCATTATGTGCCTAACTTAACGATTGGCCCATTGGTCTGCGAGGCGATTCGTGAAGTTTCAAAAAAAGTAGGCGCGCTGATTGATGTGCATTTAATGGTGAAGCCAGTTGACCGTATTATTCCTGACTTTGCAAAAGCAGGCGCTAATATTATTACTTTTCACCCAGAGGCTTCAGAGCATATTGACCGTAGCTTGGCGATGGTACGCGATTTAGGCTGCAAATCTGGCTTAGTATTTAATCCCGCGACACCGCTTAACTACCTAGATCACGTGATGGATAAAGTAGATATGATTTTACTGATGTCGGTGAACCCTGGCTTTGGCGGTCAAAAATTTATTCCAGAAACTCTAGAGAAACTAAAGTTAGCTCGCGCACGTATTGACGCGTATTACCAAAAAACAGGCCGCCAAATTTGGTTAGAAGTAGATGGCGGCGTAAACGCACAAAACATCATTGAAATTGCGCGTGCAGGTGCAGATACTTTTGTAGCGGGTAATGCGATATTTACCAAAGGGCTTGATACTGATAAAAACCGCTACAATACTGTGGTGGGTGAAATGCGTGCAGCACTGGCAACTGTGTAATTAATTTTTTGATGTTTTAGGATGTCGCAGTTTCGTGTTAAAGCCGTCATGTTTGACCTTGACGGCACTTTAATAGACACTGCGCCTGAAATTGCTTTTGCTGCTAACCAAACACTGGCAGATTTAAATCTGCCAGTATTGCCTAAAGAGCAAGTGACAAACTACATAGGTGATGGCGCACAAGTCTTAATTAAGCGTTGTTTAACTGGTAGGTTAAACGCAGAGCCAGATGGTGAGATGTTTGAGCAGGCGCAACATTTGTTTTTTGCGCATTATGCCAATAACGTGAAGCAAAGCAGACCGTTTGATGGTGTACTGGAAGGCTTGCAAACAGTTTGGCGGCGTGGTTTTAAGTTGGCATGTGTGACCAATAAGCCAGAAAAATTTACTTTGCCTTTGTTGGTGCAAAGTGGTTTGGCGGATTTTTTTGATTGTGTGGTGTCTGGCGATAGTTTAGAGAAAAAGAAGCCTCACCCAATGCAACTGCAACATATTTGCCAAAAGCTAGATGTTCCTGAGTATGAGGCAATGCTAGTCGGTGACTCAAACACTGATATTGAAGCGGCGCATTCAACGGGCTGCTTTATTATTACCGTGCCTTACGGGTATAATCAAGGCAAGTTGATTGATACATCTCGGGTGGATGAGACAATTAATGACTTAACTGAACTTTCAAACTTAATAGAGTTGTTAACATGAATTTTTTAAATAGTAATTTTCTGAGTTGGCGTGCACCTCGTTCTTGGCGAAGCTAGTGTGTGCTTAACACGCGCATAGCTGGTCACCAGATGCGCTATCCATAGAAAATTATTAGGAAAAATCATGCTACAAACCATATCAAAAACAGAATTTGATGCATTAGCTAAACAAGGCTACAACCGCATTCCATTGGTGCTAGAAACCTTTGCAGATCTTGACACGCCGCTTTCACTTTACTTAAAACTCGCGAATACCCCGTTTTCATATTTACTTGAAAGTGTGCAAGGTGGTGAGCGCTTTGGGCGATATTCTATTATCGGCTTGCCTGCAAAAACGCGGATTGTGGCACTTGGCTTTAACGTCAAGGTGATACAAGATAACGTAGAGATTGAAACTGCCGAAAACGTCAACCCACTGGATTTTGTAAAGCAATATCAAGCACGCTTTAAAACCCCGCCCTATCAAGGTTTACCGCGGTTTACAGGTGGGCTAGCAGGATATTTTGGCTATGAAACCATTCGTTATATTGAAAAGCGCTTAAGTAAAACTGCCAAGCCAGATGCCATTAATACACCTGACATGCTACTAATGGTGTCTGAAGAAATTGCCGTAGTAGATAATTTAAGTGGCAAACTTTATTTTATTGTTTATGCAAACGCTACAGAGACTGATGCTTATGAAAACGCGCATATTCGCTTAAAAGAGTTAGTAGGGCTGTTGCGTAAAACCGTTGCAATACCACAAGCGAATGCTAGCGCAAAATCTCTGGCAACATCCGAGTTTGGTGAAGAAAATTTTAAAGCCGCTGTTAAAAAGGCTCAGACCTACATTTTAGAGGGCGACATCATGCAAGTGGTGCTTTCGCAACGTATGAGCCAGCCCTTTGATGCGCCACCGCTCTCGCTTTATCGCGCATTACGTAGTTTAAACCCATCGCCCTATATGTTTTATTACGATATGGGAGATCACCATGTGGTTGGCGCATCGCCCGAGATTTTAGTTCGTTTAGAAGATGGTACAGTGACTTCACGCCCCATTGCTGGTACTCGCCCGCGTGGCAAAACCCGTGAGCAAGATTTAGCACTGGCTGAAGAGTTGTTAGCTGATCCAAAAGAGCGCGCTGAGCATGTGCAACTGATGGATTTGGGTCGTAACGATGTAGGTCGCGTCGCGCAAACTGGTACCGTTAAAGTCACAGATAACATGATGATTGAGCGTTATAGCCATGTTATGCATATTGTGAGCAATGTTGAAGGTAAGCTCAAACCGAATATGGATGCTATTGATGTGCTTAAGGCAACATTCCCCGCGGGCACTGTTAGCGGTGCGCCAAAAGTGCGTGCGATGGAAATTATTGATGAATTAGAGCCTAGCAAGCGTGGTATTTATGCGGGTGCAGTTGGCTATTTAGGTTTTAATGGCGATATGGATGTGGCGATTGCAATTCGCACAGGCGTTATTAAAAATAAAACACTGTTTGTACAAGCTGGCGCAGGTATTGTGGCTGATTCTATTCCACAGTCAGAATGGGATGAAACTCAAAACAAAGCTAAGGCGGTACTACGCGCAGCTGAAATAGTGCAGGCCGGTTTAGATAGTGAAGGGGCAGAATAATGTTATTAATGATAGATAATTACGACTCTTTCACCTATAACCTTGTGCAATATTTTGGCGAGCTTGGGCAAGATGTGCAGGTCTATAGAAATGATGAAATTAGCCTAGATAAAATTCGCGAACTAAACCCAGAAAAAATCGTGATTTCTCCCGGCCCTTGTACGCCAAATGAGGCGGGCATTAGCTTGGCGCTGATTCATGAATTTGCAGGAAAAATCCCTCTGCTGGGCGTGTGCTTGGGGCATCAAAGTATTGGCCAAGCGTTCGGTGGCAAGATAATAAAAGCTAAAACTTTAATGCATGGTAAAACATCGCTTATTCACCATAAAAATATTGGTGTTTTTCAGGGCTTGCCTAACCCTTATACCGCTACGCGCTACCATTCATTGGTCATAGAGCGTGAGAGTATTCCTGATTGCTTAGAGATTACCGCTTGGACAGATGATGGTGAAATCATGGGTGTGAAACATAAATCACTCGCGGTTGAAGGTGTTCAATTTCACCCAGAGTCTATTCTTACTGAGCATGGACATGATTTGCTGAGTAATTTTTTAAAGGCCTATTAAATGGTGTTTAAGCAAGCATTAGAGCAAGTGTTACAAGGCAAAGACTTAAGCCATGCAGATATGCTTGCTTTAATGCAGCAAGTCATGACTGGTGAACTAACACCAGCGCAAATTGCTGGTTTGGTCATAGCACTACGTCAAAAAGGTGAAAGTGTGGATGAAGTTACCGCGGCTGCTACGGTGATGCGCCAGCTTTCTACAAAGGTAGAAGTTCAAGACAAAACACATTTGGTGGACACTTGCGGCACTGGCGGTGATGGCATTCAGACTTTTAATGTTTCAACAGTGTCTGCCTTTGTATCTGCCGCCGCTGGGGCTAAAGTCGCTAAACATGGTGGGAGGTCTGTTTCAAGCACATGTGGTAGTGCCGATGTGCTTGAGGCTCTAGGCGTGAATGTGAATCAAACGCCTGAGCAAGTTGCACAAAGTATCAATGAAATTGGCATCGGATTTATGTTTGCGCCAAATCATCATAGTGCTATGAAACACGCTGCACCAGTTCGACGTGAGCTAGGCGTGCGTACTATTTTTAACTTGTTAGGCCCTCTTACTAATCCAGCAAGTGCAAAGCGTCAAGTCATGGGTGTGTTTGATAAAAACTTAACTTTGAAACTTGCGCAGGTGCTACAAAAGCTGGGCTCAGAACATGTGATGGTGGTTCACGGTGCTGACGGTATGGATGAAATTTCATTCACAGGGGACACTTATATTGCAGAGCTTAAAAACGGTAAAGTAACTGAGTACACGGTGAACCCGAGCCAGTTTGATATGGCAATACATCAGCTAAAAGTAATTCAAATTCAAAATGCAGATGAATCTAAAGCCATGATTTTGGACGTGCTTGCAGGCAAGCAAGGAGCGGCACGAGATATTGTATTGTTGAATGCTGGCGCAGCCATTTATGTGGCAGGTATAGCAACAAGTTTACAAGCAGGCATACTAAAAGCTGCAGAAGTGATTGACAGCGGTGCCGCTAATGAAAAATTGGTGCAATTGGTAAAACGTTCAATGTAGGAAGAGACAATGGCAAATCGTACCCCCGCGCAAACACGCGCTTACGCAAATGTCAAAATGGATGAGTTTTTTAGTACGGTGCCACCAGAAATAAAGGCACAGGTGGTTGCCTTGCCGCAAAAAATACACAACATGAATGCGCGGCCTATCATCAAATTAAAAGAAGTATTAACTACAGCAGATAAAATTTTTGACCATGCGGGAAAATTTGCAGCATGTGCGCGTGGTTGCGGGCATTGCTGCCATGTTTCAGTACCCATTACTGAGTTTGAGGCACAGTTTATTGCTGATGGGATAGGTGTAAAGCCAACTGCAGTTAAGCAAAGCAAACGCCCAGATATTAGAAGTTTTGGAAGCCATACACCTTGTCCGTTCTTGGTCAATGGTGAATGTTCAATATACGAAGTTAGACCGCTCACATGTAGAATGCATATGAATTTTGATCAAGATAATTATTGGTGCCTGCATGAAAACTGGCAAAGACCAGAAGCAGAAATACCACGCCCAAATATTCAGCCCTTAGAGCAGGCCTATCATATGTTGCCAGCAAAAAAACAAGCGATTGTGGCAGATATTCGTGACTTTTTCCCTAATGGGCGTGACACTTGTTAGCTAGATTATTACTGTTAGCCTTTGCCCTGCTGGCGGCGGGGTGCCGTTCAGAAACTCCTCAAATTCAATCGGAGCCGCCTGTTGCTATTGCTCATGCAACAGTTAGTGCTCGCACAAATAGTGCAATTGAAGACGCCTATACACGCAAACTATCTGATGTTTGGTTAGAAGGTGAAGGTGAAGTGGTGAAATTGTTGGCGGACGATAATAAAGGCTCACGCCACCAAAAGTTTTTAGTTAGTGTCAGCAATGGCAAAACCTTATTATTTGCGCACAACATTGACCTTGCCCCGCGTTTGGAAGCGTTAAAAGTAGGCGACAAAATAAGTTTTAAAGGGGAATACGTTTACAATCCTAAAGGTGGCGTCATGCATTGGACCCACCATGACTCCAAAGGCCAGCAATCTGGTGGTTGGATAATACTCAACGGAAAGACTTACCAATAAATTATGTCGGATATTCTTAACAAAATTTTAGCTACCAAACGCGACGAAGTGCAAGCTGCCAAAGGCTTAACCAGTTTATCGCAACTACAAAAACAAGCTGAAGCGCAGCCAGAACCGCGTGATTTTGTTGGTGCGATTCATGCCAAAGTGGTTGCCAACAAGCCGGCGGTGATTGCGGAAATTAAAAAAGCCAGCCCTTCAAAAGGCGTAATTCGTGAAAATTTTAACCCGGCAGAAATCGCCAAAAGCTATGAAAAAGGCGGCGCAGCCTGTTTGTCAGTGCTTACTGACGTTGAATACTTTCAAGGAAGTGCGGAATACTTAAAACAAGCCCGCGCTGCGTGCAAGCTACCCGTATTGCGCAAAGATTTTATGATAGATTCTTACCAAGTGTTTGAAGCGCGCGCGATGGGCGCCGATTGTATTTTGCTAATTGTTGCCGCACTTGAATTAAAGCAAATGCGCGCCTTAGAGCAACTCGCACATGATTTAGGCATGGCGGTATTGGTGGAAGTGCATGATGCTGATGAGTTAGAATTAGCCTTGCAGTTAGATACGCCACTGGTTGGTATTAACAATCGCAATTTGCGTACCTTTGATGTAACTTTACAAACCACTTTAGACTTACTCAAAGTGTTGCCTGAAGACCGCTTTGTGGTGACAGAATCGGGTATTTTTACACCAGAAGATGTAAAACTGATGCGGGATAACGATGTGCACACCTTTTTGGTGGGTGAGGCCTTTATGCGCCAGCCGGACCCTGGTGCTGAGTTGGCAAGAGTATTTGGCACTTAAATTTTAAAAACTAAGTTGTATCTTAGCTTAATTTTTTTCCGTTCGTGGTGAGCCTGTCGAACCACAAAGTCACCCTTCGACAAGCTCAGGGCGAACGGTATATACTGAATCAGTTAAGCTTTAATTTTATCTGAACAATACCGGAAATAAACAGAGGTTAATGCCATGAGCTATCCATATTCCCGCCCACGTCGTATGCGTAAAGATGAATTTTCACGCCGTATGATGCGAGAGCATGTACTTACTTCAAACGATTTAATCTACCCAGTATTCGTATTAGATGGTGAAAATCGCACTGAAGAAGTTGCTTCTATGCCAGGTGTAAAGCGCCAAAGCATTGATGTGTTGCTCAAAACTGCGGGTGAATGCGTGCAATTAGGCATTCCCGCCATTGCCTTGTTTCCCGTGGTGGATAGTCAGTTTAAAAGTCTAGATGCTGCCGAAGCCTACAACCCTAACGGTTTAGCGCAACGCGCTGTGACCGCATTAAAAGCAGCGTACCCAGAACTTGGGATGATGACCGATGTTGCTTTAGACCCCTTTACCACACATGGGCAAGATGGCTTGATTGATGCCTCTGGCTACGTGCTGAATGATGAAACCATCGAAGTTTTGGTAAAACAAGCCCTTTCACACGCGCAAGCGGGTGCCGATATTGTTGCCCCCAGCGACATGATGGATGGCCGTGTTGGGCAAATCCGCGAAGCGCTAGAAAGTGCGGGCCATATTCATACCAAAATTTTGGCGTATTCTGCTAAATACGCTTCCGCTTTTTATGGCCCATTCCGCGATGCAGTGGGCTCCGCAGGTAATTTAGGTAAAGGCAATAAATATACCTACCAAATGGACCCTGCCAACAGTGATGAAGCCATGCAAGAAGTCGCGCTGGACGTTAGCGAGGGTGCAGATATGGTGATGGTGAAGCCCGGCATGCCGTATTTAGATATTGTGCGCCGTGTAAAAGATGAGTTTGGCGTACCAACGTTTGCCTACCAAGTGAGTGGGGAATATGCGATGCTTAAAGCCGCCGCGCAAAATGGCTGGTTGGATGAAAAAGCGTGCGTAATGGAGAGTTTATTGGCGTTTAAACGGGCAGGGGCAGATGGGATTTTGACTTATTTTGCGATGGATGCAGCGCGGTGGTTGAAAGAGAGTAGTAAATGAATCAGTTTTTGAGTTCGCTTCCAACCATGCTGGGCGGGCTTTTGATTGCTACTGCAACCTATTGGTTTACGAAGAAAAAAGAAAGAGAAGCTGAGTGGAGAAAAGAGAAACTGGCTTACTATAAAGCTTTCGTTGAGTCCTTAAGCGGTATAGCTGGCAATGATAATACAATTGATGGTCAGCGAGCCTTTACAAAAGCAAGTAACAATTTGCTTCTGTTTGCCCCTCAATCTGTAATTCAATCGCTTGAAAGTTTCAGGAGCGGGATTCGAGTTTCCAACAACTTGCCAATTCATGAGCATGACAAATTGCTCACAGATTTAATACGAGAAATTCGCAAGGATATTAAAATTTCACCATCGGATAGTTCCGAATTTAGTGCGAAAATATGGGCATCTGG